ATAACTTTCAGCCTTTTATACCATTTTAAACCCTCCTATATTCAACGGTAACAATGGTTCATGATGGAGATAGGAAACGAAAGTAAGTTGATCAATAAACAATTGACAAGTAACAAAACCACTTACGTTTAAATGCACCATAAACCCATCACAAATATCATTCTTTTCTTTAAAACTAGAGAGCAGAGTCTTTTCTACAATCCATTCATGTTCGCGATCCACAAACGTTTTATCTTATCAAAAAATAATTGCTTATCTTGAAAAAAAGACCAGCAAGTCCATAAAGGCTGGAACTGCAGTGTTTCCATGCAACTATCTGCTAAAGAGATCGGCTAACTTCCATTAATCGAGACTTTAATTTGTTTCTTATAAAGAATTGACAAAACATTATGACCGCGAGATATGGCTCAAATCATGCATGGTAAGTCAACATTAGACAAGGAACATTAAGCAAATTTTTTCTACTAAATTGATCAAAACAATGGAGTGAAAATACACTGAGAAATGCAGACTGTGAGAATGTATCGGGATTTTGCTTCGATGTACGAAGAAACCGGAAACTTCACCGCACACTCTCGAACATACTTAACTTTTCGCTACGCACACTATGAATGGCACGTGAATTATGTATAGTACATTGTCCTCTTCAACAAATTTGCCCCGCCTCTTTTGTTGCATTTTTCACTTTGTGATTCGCTTTTTTAGTGTTCTTTGCTCAAATTCATTCGTATTTTGATTGATACGTATCATGACGTTCCTCTATGCACCGCTCTTTGCTTTTAGAAGACTTGCAAAACTTTTGTGCGATGGAAGAAAAGCCGTCCATCTTCCAGCCACACTACCGTCTACTTTTGGCAGTATAGTGAACAAAATGTATTGGGCAAACCTTGCTGTTTTTAATCTAGACGACTCCATATTACAAATGTGATTTCACTTACTAATTGTAAGGGAAATAGACTAGTGGTTAGAAACTCCATTTCGAATGACTCAGCCCTCGGTGGCAAACGGACTAAATTTCATTTTCGATGGACTCCGTTGTGTTCTTCTTCGATAGAAAATCCGTTGTGTTGGAGAATGATTAAGAAATTAGGAACGATAAGCAAGGAGAGTGGAAGAGAAGTCAATTAGAGTATATCGCTACTAATTAATTCGTGTACAAATATCTTATTGGTTGAGAGGCCACTCTAGAGAAAGGAACATTTAGTCGGCATGCTCAAGAACTTAGGTAAAAGTCTTCCCAAGCAGGCTACACTAGAACTTGAATAAAAGACAAATATTGGCCACAATGTGGAAGACTGAATGAAAAGCTAATATGATCCCAACAGTTATGGTACGGTTCTTTTCAAGTTATTATTGGTTCACCATCAAGCAACCACGTTGTTGAAAGACTGATGGTGAATCGAAAACACGAGGTTTTGTTGACTGTTAAAAATGTCGTTAAGTGTTGAATTTCAGTTCTCAATGTAGCAGACGCATTCTCTTCAATGCGGAAGTCACTGTGGTTGGCATTCACATCACCAAAATGCATTACTCTCCTAAAAAAAATCTCGAGAAAGCATTTCATGTTGTGTGCAGAATAAAGCTCTTCAGTGACCATGCGCATTGCCAACATATATTTTAGATAAGCTATTGATCCAATGCAAAAGTTATTGCAAAACAACTCTGCGCAAAGAAACAAGTGGCTTTAAGGAAGTGAATCAGCTATGATTCAAATGATTTATATAATTCATAAATCGTATATGATTCATGCAGTTACGGATTTGCTAGTACCCTTCCTCGCAGCAACGAGGATATCCTACCCTGTCGTCTAGGGGTTCAGCGAGGTGAAAAAATTCTCCTACGTAACAGCTTCATGTAGAGCACGAAGGATGCAATAAAATTGTTCTTAGATGCTGTCCATGACAACACCAGAAGAGATCCATTAAGTGAAAAGACAAAGTAATCAACCACAAATAAGGCCCACTAAAAACAATTTACACCGTCAGGCACGTATTAATCAACCAAAAACAAATTTTTCATTCATTTATCCACTCATAAGGCTCATGAACGGACAGAAGCTTGATACCCAGGCGAGATAGTCGTTCCCCAACTGCCAATGTTATGGTAACTATACAGCCTCTTTTCTTTCAGTAAAAACCTAGTGCTAAAAAGTCCAAGTTTAGTACTTGCTCAGGAAAAAGAAAGCAATGAACGTTTTATGCTGCGCCAACGCACCTCCTGAGCTTAGAAAATAAGTAGAGCAGTCAGCACTACGCACATCCCTATTTAAGGCCAGGGTCAGCTCCTGATGTGTGAGCGTCTCGACAGCTGCCATATCCATTTTCACCTAAGTAGGAATAGTTTTCTAAAACTCTACGAAAATACAACATTAAATGAGCATTGTATCCATGTTCTGAAGTAGAACTCAAGGAAGGAAACTCCCTAGTTTTGCGCTGTTATGGCTCTGCGCAATAAATGCGACAATAATATCTCTTTTCCTATTTAGCATACTACTCATTAAGAAGCTGTTGAAATATTACTCACTCCTGTAAAATAACGTCTTTGTTTTCACCTTAAAAGGGAAGCACTTTTCACATTACTAAAAAAAAGAAAAGGTTGTGAAGTAGAAATACCTTAAACGGACAAGCTTTCTGAGCGCGGAGTTCCTCCGGACTTATACTTTGTGTGATGAAAATATGATTAAGAGCGCCCTGTACATCAATTCGGTGCTCAACGTCGACAACGATTAGCTTCGAAATCAAGTCGATCATGTCCTCCGATACCTTAAACATCATACCAACAAGCTATTTCAATTAAATTGATAATCGATTTGTTTTGCATGAGGTTATCGTGATTTTTGAAACTGTGCAGCTTTACGACAATTTCTAATAAGTTCTTGGTAGCAATAATGTTTGAATACTTGGGAACATTTGCAAACTTACTTAACATATTCTGTTCTCTGAGAGAAAGTAAGAACAAAGGGCCCCTATAGTACGGTGGCGAACGCGTTAGTCCTGGGAAAGGATAGTGCCATGTTCTATCACCACTCCAAACACCTGCGGTCCGGAATTTTGCAAATGTATCAGCATTATTTTGGTTGCATTTCACGGCTTAAACACTATTTGTGGATTGCAAAAATGCTCCAGTAACAGAATGGAAAAACTCGCTGGCAGAAATCTGTAGATTTTAATGGTGCCTTTCCCAATTAACGGAGTTCAGAATCGATAGTATTTACTGGAAAGGCTTAAGCTGTCCTGCAGTACATACTTTATCATTGGTTTGATTATTTAAGCAAAATTGCATTCGTTTACTTCGACGATGCTACGAATCGAGTTTCACGGTGCATCGTTGAAGGATTGATCAACACCAAAAAAAATTTGTCTTTTAGCTATTATGAGACAGGACAGGTCTGTTTTTCTACTGGAATCAATCTTCACTGCTTTCAATGCGCTAAATGATCCCAGAAAATTATGGCCAAAAGTACCTCTGCTTGCAAATACTTCGAAATTAAATAAGTAGATCGAATGGTGAATCATATTGACTAATACGAACAGGTTTCTTTCACCCAAGAATGCTCCTGCAATGTGAGATCCAAAGCATTGCTTCGGTCGAAAGTACCTAGGAGAGCAATCTGCGCCTATCAACTTTTTCCACAAGATTAGGAAGCAATTTTGGCCAAATCGTAGATGATAGATTCAAGCGCAGAAACCCTGCTCTAGTTTTGTTGTATGCTTTCAATAGTCTCATCGTTAACACTTTGCCCATTTTGATTCAGAAGGTCGTACAAGTTGGTGGTAAAATTCGGTGAATCTCTATTTTCCTCATAACATTACGCTCCGTAGCCTTTCATAGTTTCATAAAATTAATATAATATCCACTACTACATGGTGGATTGTCAAAAGAAAAAAATGTTATCAATGGACGATCACTCATTAACGATCCAGCCAAAAGTTCACTGCTGAATGAAGTTACTTCATTCGTGCAGTACTCCACCCCATCGGATTCGGCTCGATGCGACAACGAAGACATACGTAGCAAGTACGAATGGCCGTGGACGATCGACTCGAATCAACCGAGCTTTTTTGAATGCGAAGGTGTTATTAGACGAGCCGAATAAAATTTTATAAATTCTCTCGCGTAACAAAGGATATTTCTCAGTAATGTCGAAGCTAAACAAAGGTTGGTTTCCAATATTGGTGTCTCCGAAAATATGTTGCTTTGTGCCCCAGTAGTAGATCTGTTTAAAATCGTTGTACCACTATTGAAATGAGTAGAGATGGTTTATGAAAGACGACGTCAACGATCCTTTGAAGACGTATTCGTTACGAAGAAAGGCCACATACAAAGGTGAGCGTGGATGATCGTTGTTGCAGTGTCTGTTAAGGGAATCAAACAAAATTTTTGCAAAACTCGAGTCCTTATCGGTACCCTACGATGGTTTTCTTTCGTGTTTGTGGTAATAATCTAGAGGTATTTAAAACACCGCGATGATTCCGATTTGAATTGTTGTGAAAACAGTGTAATATTTTAAAAAGCACTAAAAACACCAGACTTTCCTCAAATCAATGCAAGCACAGAAAATTTTAGGTAAGAAGCCTACACAGGAAGAAAGCACTGCATTCCCATCTTCACTAGGAAGAGAGGTGCAAGTAACGTGCTTTCAAAGTCACCATTTCATATAATCCATGGTGTACTCGTCAGTTTTTCACATAATAAATGCCCAGCGCTGGTCATGAATACCCACTCAGTAGTTTGCAAATATGAACGCAAATAAACGCTTCCGCTTTTTGTAGAAATGCGTCAGGATCTGTGATTATACGTCCAAAAAATGACATTATGAAAAACAGATTGATGCACTCAGTAGGTATAATGGAGTATGCCTTTTAGTAAATTAGTTTACTTCGCAAATTGTACGCAGGTTGCACTTCGCTTCGAGCGATCTCTCCCGTCAGAGGATGTCATGCTGAATAACTATTGCACTAAAACTCCGAGTTGATTCACCTTACGCTCTCTACAGTTCATTATTTCTGACCACGATCGTTGGGCGTGGTCTCCGAAATTCTCAATGAGACGTCGCGTACGCTCACAACGAATTTCGTCCAGTATCTAAAGGGAAGCGGTATATATGGGTAAAAGAGGGACTCGTTCATGACGAAATATGACAACGAAAAAAACTTCACTTTTTGCGATGGTGCTCCAAGCATAGTGAGAATGATCTTAATTTGACCGGATACACTACGTCCTGGAAAGAGCTCTCGTCGGAGAATCATCTCAGCAAAAATGCATCCAACGGCCCACATATCCACTGCTGTTGAATGTTCCGGCATCACATAAAGCAACTCTGGTGCTCTATAAAATGTAGGAATTGTACAGTAGTTTTCAACGTTTGATTAAAAACAGTGAAGCAACACTCCCACTCAACAGCCTCAACAAAGCAAGTTTTACTTAATAGTAACTTTAATCGTCTATCAGGATTAAAATCTGCCTTAGTGCTTTACGCGACACATAGAGCTTAAGTGGTATCACGGACATACAGAATTTTCAAACACTAAATGATTCCTGTTACTAAAATGTTTGTGCATGAATGTACATGATACATGGTGACACGATAGGTAGATAGGACTGCAAATTCCGACACAGTTTGTAAATGAAGAACCTGAAGTTTTTAGTTGGTTATGTCAACCTGTATGGTAATGTGGCGACATGCTGTGTCATGTAGAAGCACCGCTCGTCGGCTTCGTCAACATGGTCTTTCATAGCCAGTTTTGCCATACCAAAATCAGCGATGCGTAGTGTACAGTCGCTATTCACGAGCAAGTTTGAAGGTTTCAGATCACGATGGGCGATGCCAGCAGTGTGCAGATACTAAAACAATAGCTGCTCTTTCTTCACTACTACATTTCCTGAGGTGCTCTCTGCAATAGCCAAGATGGATCTATCTTTGGAATGAATATTATGGGGGTGGAAAACATTCTACCTCTCTGACTTTTACATGCCTCCTTTCTTTGTTGAATATATGAAGGATTTCAGACACACTGAATTAGCCAATCTTTCACAGTTTTCGTAATTCTCCATAACATTAAAGTCTTACCCTTAGTCCCATAAGCAACTGGTACAGAAACTTCCTTATAAGGTAGTCGTCGAGTTCACTTGAATAGCCATGAATGACTTGGTTAAGACTGTATTCCATGAGATCCATGACTGAAACTGCTGACTTTGCTATGTACAAATGTACTACATGCCTTCTAAATAAAGAGGACACGATTGTAAGACACACCGCTATCAACGATGTAAAAGAAAGCGCATCTGTGATGTCGAAACAGTTCAACTACTAGCGTTTTAAAGCAAAAATCTTGCCGAGGTAAACATTGATTCCTAGCGGTCCTCTAGTGCGAAAAATATCCCTCATTGACACAATATTGTCGTGTTTCACATGACGCAACACACGGATTTCTCGCAATGTACGACGAGCTAACGTTGGCGTAGCCGAGGCATGTCCTATCTTCTTTATTGCAACCTAAGAATTAGATTTGAAAAATCTGAGACAGCTGAAGAAAATGCGAAGTAAGCAAATTATACCTTCGCGAAACCACCATCACTGCTTGTTTCCTCGGCTTCGCAGACAATGCCGAATGCTCCAGCTCCGATGCTTCGAACTGGTTCATACTTTGCGGCAGCTGTACCGAACTCAAAGTCCAGATGCAGTTGACGACGTGCGAGATCGTCCAGGACTCGAGTGAAGCCTGTTTTTGCGGCAGGCATAAGGTCGCACCTTTGATAATGACGGGTGTTACTTTTAGTTTGACTAGACGACTGATCTAAAACGAACTCGGCGGACGACAGGAACTATAGTACAACATTGACTTGCGCGAATTATGCAAATATTTCAGTGAAAGTGTGACTATCAGTTTGTAATACTCGCAGCGATTTACGTACTATGATGAGAAATTGAATGTGCTGTATTTAAGTGGCTACATCACTGTCGCTGTATCGGTCGAAGAGTACCACTGAACTGTTGCCATAACAGCAGTAAGTAAAAAAGACATTAATATCCAGACCTGTGAACCTTGAGCTTTTCCTCCATATATTCACTTTTTTAGATAACTGTAAACCGAAACCTTTACGACACCTTGGGTAATTATGTAAAAATAAAAAAAGTTACCTGCGCCTATTTACTATAGGGACGATGAATAGGGAAATAAGCTAGGAAGTGTTGTTGACATACTGAATTTTGAGCAGTTTCAAGAAATTGTGCCTATATAGCCACAATGATGCTAAGATATTTGCAAAACTACGGACCGCAGGTGGGAAACGAACGCGATATTGTCCTTTCCGGGCACTAACGCGTTCACCATCCCACCATGCGGCTACGCTGATGTAGATTTACACAACTTGCATTCTCATTTTGCGACAAATTTTATTGAGCTCAGTAAAACAGTCTAAACAAATCTTGGCATCCTATTAAATCAAGCAAGTCATACTTATTATTTAGTGACGGTGCCAAGAGTGAGGAAAGAAGAGAAAATGGATGCGATATCTACAATGAAGTATTATGATAGGGACACTCATGTCTAACAACACTTTGAAACAAAGAACTGAGCTGATAATAAAGCGTCCCCTATCGCTCACCACTCCGTCAATGAACTTGACACATTTTCCGGTCCTTTAGATACATATTAAGCGTTGGTCTGCTCGTTCCACCCAGTGATTATGAGTCATCAATGATTTAACACCAATGTTCCACGCCTTCCAGTTCAGAACTGCTCGATATTCACTGCATGAGACGTACGGGGATACTCGATATCGTCGCCGGATGGGGAGCCCATGAACAAAAATGAGGCACTGGAAACGCCACACACACGAGAACCGAATACCTGCTGAAAAAATCTCTTCAGTGCATTTTTGAGTTCCTCGTGCTAAGAAATGGGTAAAAAACAATGGTGCGAGTATAAAGGAATCTTTCGAACAACCTTGAAAATAATTTTCACACAGTAGTGGTTTCGTACAAAGAAAGTATTCCTCTTGGAGCTACTGACCGAGTTGTGAAAAATGTTTAAAAGAAAATTGTAGAATTACTAGACTTAGATCGTAAATGACGTTTTTTACTATAAATAACCCGTCTTTCCATGTGATTAGGTGAAACTCCCTCATAAATCGCTCTTTCCAAAAAGGATGTTGGCTTTTTAAGAATCTTAAATGGATCATTTTGAGGTGGATGCAATAAGAATACAATGTTAGCCTAATTGTCAAGAAAGAAGAATTGGCACCCACTATGGAAAGATTTTAACAGGCAAAAAAATAAAGAAAGGTTAACGAAATCCAGTGCACAAGAAAATAATCGGCGGCCAATTCCTGTTTATTGGGGTAATGCGCAGTATCTTGATAGGGCTTGAAATTCGACGTATTGAAGTGGGAGGATAGGAGCGGGCTACTGGGTGTGGCTAGGCGTTTTGAACTGAGCACTTAGGCCAGTAACGCCCACAGCCTATCAAAATTTTCATGAAAATGAGGAAATATAGGAATAGTAGTTCGTGCAACGTCGATGAGCACAGCTTAGAAATGTGTAATGTTACCGGTACTTTTGCAGAACAGGAAGTGAACAAGAAAAGAGCCCAGGAATTAATAAACTTTTTTAGAAAGGAATATCACGCGTACACAAATAATTTTAGAGTTTCCTGTCGTCAAAAATATTTTTTGGCCATAAGAGTTCACATTCAGAAAGGAACGACTGGTCAATGCATTGAAAGAAATACCTGATGCCTGAAATACCCATCCTTCGTTCTAAAAAAAAGTTTTCAGATTTTCAGAACCGTTGAGATGATTCGAATTTATCAACTATTATGAGAGGTTTTTCACTAGTATTAAAACAGTACATCGAATTTTAAGGTGAGGCAAGAAAGAATAATAAGCGATTGAATGGAAGCGGGCGATCACCTTTTAGGTTCGGTGACCTCGGATTTTTCTTGCAATGAGTGCATTACTTGAAATACAGTATATTTTAGGCAGTGCGCCGATCTTAGAAAAAAGGCAAGAAAAAGGAAGGCGCACAGATACCACCTTCTGATGGCTGACTTTACTAAGCCAATAGTTTTCAGTTACCTAATATGACACAATAGTCCAAGAAACGACGTTTAACTGAAAATTCGTCAAGGAAGAAAACTGTTTGAGAGAGTGGAGGGCCGTGATGAAATCTGTTGAAACTTCAAATGAATCGAAGCTACCTTTTTTTTCCTTTTATTTGTTTAACACACTCGGAGTACAACGCGTTCGACAATGTAGCCAGGTGTAAACGAATAAAAAATACACAAGCGTTAAAACCACATCTAATTTATATGATAGAACTTGGGAGTACAAAATTTCAAAGTCAAATCGTTTCTAAAAACCGATCTCTCATTTGACCTCGACGTGAACAATCAGTATCGTTTTAGATTGGTAGGCATACATAAGGTCAGTAGAAAACTTTACTGTGACTAATTTTTCTTTATTGCGGTGTTCCACTCCATTCGATTCGTTTCCATATAACTCGATACGACTACGGAGAACCACACATTGCCATCCGTGTCAACAAAACCACAATCCACGCCAGCACAAACACAGAACGCCTCGTCATTGCAAACAGATTAGTCGCTTTATCAGAAGCGGTAGACGAAGGATGAGAAAAAAAGAAAACTCCCAAGTGCAGTTGAACTGCAAGTCCAACAATATTCATAACGTTTGCGTAAACTGATAGCCTTCTGAAAGACGGAAATATTAATTGAGTTGGTGACGACTTGAAAGCTAAGAACAATTAGAACTGGATGAAAATTTAACTGAAAAAGATTTGAGAAAAAACACCCCAATTAATCGACTGGATATCTATCAAAAGGCAAGAAAATTTTTATAAACCACTCTACTTTGTAAAACGCTTATTTCAATGACAGTATTTTAAGAGTTCCCTGGTTTTCGATGAACGATGATTCACCAAAGGCTCATCAAGCCACCCGTTTCTTCGGAGTCGGTAAATTAGTTCCGAACTTGCCTAGGATGTGTACACTCTTGCCATTAACGTCGGGCCCTCTAACGTAGCTGTCTTAGGATTCCAGAGTGAATCGAGTCGACCAGCATTCAACGACGTTTATAACGAAGACGAAAATCCTCAAACAGTAGCTGAACTCGCACATTGAAGTTCGAAGACCTTCGTGGACGAGGAATGACAGGAAACGCATCGAATTTAAGAAAAGCTGGGTTCAGCATAGCAGATGTAAGAATGGGTCATGGAAAAAAAAATAGGGCACCCGTTTTCTAATTTCCGCTTTTTACCTAGATTAGGAGGTAGTTTGAGCCCCTTTGACGGAGAATTACGAAATTCCTCATTTTTAAAATTTCACTACTTTTTTGTAGTTGAGAAGTACCTTTCTCTCGAAACTTTTGAGGTGGAAATAATAAACATTTCCTAGGTAGTAAAAATGACACTAAATCTTGTTAATAGGAGAGCGGCGTGCCATCGCAAGAGTACGTATTTTTTTTCGTCATCGCAGTGACTCCTGCATTGGGTTACTAATGGCGTGATTTCTAAACAAAAATATGGAACACTTCATCATGCCAACATTATTGATCTTCTGGCACTACAAAATAAGAAACGTTAAAATGGCAGATTACAGTTGTAATTCAGCGCAATGCAAATAAAGAAAGCATCCTTCTAGTTTCCTGAAGTGACAAGACCATATTTCTCACATCCAACTTTCTATTACCGGCAGTGATCAATAAGTGAATGACCTCTTCTTGAGCAGAGACGATTGTCGAAATAACACACACTCGATAGTTGCTAACGTTTCGACGGTTCCACCTTCTGTGGCAAAAAGATCAATAGAAATAGCTGAGAGACGTGCGAAACAAAGGACCCGCATGGTGTGGTGGTGAACGCGTTACTCCCCGGAAAGGATAATAGCGCGTTCGTTCCCCACCATAGACACCTGCGGTCCAGAGTTTTGCAAATATCTCAGCAACATTGTGGTTGTATTTCGCTTAGTAACCTGCCATGAAAATTATAGAAGGCAGAAAACAAAACGTTAAAACATTGTGATTTCAACTACAGCCATAGCTTAACTGGGTTCTATGCCGATTTGCGCTCCCCAGATCAACCCCGCTGACGGGTGATTGCTGTGGCAAAAAGATCAATAGAAGAGACGTGCGAAACAAAGGACCCGCATGGTGTGGTGGTGAACGCGTTACTCCCCGGAAAGGATAATAGCGCGTTCGTTCCCCACCATAGACACCTGCGGTCCAGAGTTTTGCAAATATCTCAGCAACATTGTGGTTCCACCTTCTTCAAACCTGAAAGAGTGAATTCATCAGCAATCTACTCATTCGAGCACTTTCACCAACCTAGTAGCGAAAGAGCAAAACATTGCAAAAAATCATACAGAGACATAGGACTTTTTGACCTGATAGACGCACATACCTCACCCATGTAAGATCTGTGCGGCTGCACTCCATCAGTAAGTGGAACACTTATGAACAGCAAAACGGTCAATGTTTAAATGATGCTCTTTCTCGTGCAATAGAAATTTAGGTATCGAGTTTATTCTGATGAGGTTATGAAAATGTTTAGCTGAGCAGATTACTTGTCTGTTTGACCCTTCCAGGCTTTGAAGGAGGTTAATCCGCTGAAAAGTTGGCACTGTTGAATAAATATCGTTTTAACAACTTTCACCTAAAAAGAGAAAGTTGAGTATTGAAAAACCGTCTTTATTTGGAATAAGCAATGTGAAAGGAAGACCTTC